TGGTTCTGTTAAAACAGATGTATACTCTACACTTAACGTCCTCTTCTGAAGTCAAGGATGATAATTTTACTATTTTTAATCACCATAAAAATTTAAGAGTAGATATAACTTTGCTTTTCTGCTAGAATTTGATTCCAAGTCCTTGATCAGGAAGACAACTACAGATAACAATCTTCCTCAGGGATAAGGAGCCACATGACAGTGCATCCAAGAAGCCAAAGTAATGAAACCCGCTACACCCACCAGCATGTGCATGTATATGCCATCTGCAGGGATAGGTGGGAGCCAGGGGGACAAAGGAATCTTCAGTAGTAAACAAAACACTGACCCCTTCATGGTTTGACATGAGTCATTTTGTGTTTGCCTAGTCATTTGACCAGCTCTTAAGAACTAGGAAACCAAGTCCAACCCTACTGAATGTCAGTTGAACTAGTTCTTCCAACACAGCTGAGGGGATTTGGGACTGATAAGCTCACTGCTGTGTCTGCAGCTGGTCATTTACCACGGTTGCAGCTTTGTAAACGTGGCCATTTTATGCTATGGATAGTTTCTATAACTTATTTTCCCACTAGATTTTAGTAAAAATCCAGTTTTTTACTGCCCCACCCCAACCCAGCACATCCTCCAGAGAGCAGTAACCAGCCAGGGACTGTGTTGACCGGCTCGAGATGAAAAACTGACCAGGTTCCATCAAATAAAAGATATGCCATTCCCCAGTCCTGAAATGCAAATACTCAAATTTGTCTTTGAGTTACCTAAGAAAGCACCTATCAAACATTAACCCCTTGGCCGGTGTGGTGGCTCACGCCTGTAATCCTAGCACTCTGGGAGGCCAAGGTGGGCAGATTGTTTGAGCTCAGGAGTTCGAAACCAGCCTGAGCAAGAGCAAGACCCCGTCTCTACTAAAAATAGAAAGAAATTAATCAGACAACTAAAAATATATAGAAAAAATTAGCCGGGCATAGTGGCGCATGCCTGTAGTCCCAGCTACTCGGGAGGCTGAGGCAGGATTGCTTAAGCTCAGGAGTTTGAGGTTGCTGTGAGCTAGGATGACACCACGGCACTCACCCTAGCCAGGGCAACAGAGTGAGACCCTGTCTCAAAAAAAAAAAAAAAAACAAAAAACAAAACAAAACATTAACCCCTTAATTCTTACAATTCCTAAAATGCTCAGTCATTACCACCCATATTCCATAATACTATTGAGGAAGCAGGATGTGATGAAGTTGAGATGTCAAGATCAGCAGAGCTAAAATTTTAATTTAAACATATCTTATTACCCAGCTTTTGTTATAAAAAGTCCTAAACAAGTGCATTGTCAAAGGTCAACTGGGTGTGGGAAGGTCTCAAGAAAGCGATCTGAAGCAACAGGAGCTCCCTAAGGGGTCTTTTTGGAACTGAAATACCCTTGAAAAGACCCACCCCCTCAATTGCAAAAGTGTGGAGCTGTACACCTAGGAACAGCACACACCCCGAGAGAAATCAAAACCTTTTAAGTCCATTGCTTTCGCATTGGAAAAACTCATCCATAAGGACTCTAGGCTGCCCAAAGATCACAGAAACATCCTTGGTCTGGAGGTCTCCCTCACTAAGGGGAGTAACTCAAATTGGTGTATTCAGGAGACAGTAAAAAGCAACTCTGACATCAGACTGCCTGGGTTCAAATCCCAGCTCCACCACAATGCACAACCTCTGTGCTTCAATTTCCTCATCCATAAAATGGGGATGACAACAGTACAGTTAGAGTAAGCACTCACTAAATGATGCCTGTTATTATTCAAAAAGTCTTGTCCGTCTCTAGTTTAGGACTGTTAAGGAAAAAAAAAGTCTTGTCCAATCCAGGGCCTGTTGCCACATCCTGGTATATATATAATAGATGCCTACCACCGCTCCCACCCCAAGGGCAAAATTCTGCTTTCAACCAAGTTGACTAAAAAAATAACAGGCTGCGCGTGGTGGCTCAGGTCTGTAATCCCAGCACTCTGGGAGGCTGAGGCGGGAGGATCAGGAGTTTGAGGCTGCAGTGAGCTATGATCAGGGTACTGCACCCCAGCTTGGAGTGACGGAGTAAGACCCTGTCTCTTAAAAAAACCAAAAACAATAAGCAAAAGGAAAAGGCCTACATTAACTATTTCATGAAATGGTGTCTGAGAGCTAAAAACCAATAAACTCCCACAGAATTCACACTCCTGAGCAAGAAAGTAATTTAAATCAGCTGTTTAAACCTACTCTTTTTTTTTCCCACAAAAAGTGCACATTTATTGCTTAATGTAACCACAGTAGACATTCTCTCCAACTAAGAGATAGGTACGGGTTTCATTTTGAAAAGATATCATCTATATCACGGTACTAATTTTCATAATATCCCAGATTAGTTTTACTATCAAATGACATTCCATTTAAAATGTCAATTCAACTTAAATCACAAGGAAGTAAGTGATCCTTCAAATATATAATTATTATGACTTTTTGGTGATATTTTCACCAAGTTTCTCTAGAGACAGGAAACATTAATTAGCAACAATGATAGCTAACATTTATAACACATCGATTTAGTACCTAATAAACTAGGTGCTAATTTTTACATACCACCTCATTCTCTTACTCCTTTGAGGGAGATATAGGCTTTTACAGAAAAATTTCAGCCTTAATGTTACTATTGAGAGCTGATTGCTAGCACCTGTGCAAGGTTTGTACTAACCCTAAACTAATTTAAAGTCTCAAATTTTAATGCACATGTGGATCACCTGGGGGACCTTGTTAAAATGCAGATGATTCAGAAGGTCTGGGGTGAGGGCACTGACTCTGCATTTCTAACAAGCTCTCAGGTGATGCCAATGCTGCTGGCCTAGGGACCAAACCTGAAGTAGCAAGGATCTACAGATCGTAATAGGCCACATACCACAAACAGTCTATAAAAGCTAAAATTTTTAAAGTCTAATTTTTCTCAAAAAACTACATAATTAGAACGTACTCATATTTCTTGATGGGATTCTGAGTTTTGTCACATCTTAGAACTATCTTCATAATGACTTCCTGTTTTCTTTTCCAGTTTAAATGTACAGTCCAATTTCTTGGAATTTTGTGGGTGGGGGGGTTCCCCCTAAAAACCTGGATTTTTATCAAGGCTAAAAAACCAAGTACACAGAAGACTGTTTCAAGTTGCCATACCCTTCAAACAGGTCCCTTTCCTTCACTTGCTCACGCATAGTTTCTCATTGTTTAAAGTCTAGAGATTAAACAAATAGGAGCGTTAAGTGAGATTTTACGGGCTGGGCCCCAAAGTTCTTCCAGATTAGAAGTAAAGCTCTACAATAAAATAGTACCTTACCAAAAGGTAATGATAAATACTACTGGCTTCCATCCCTGGCCTTGGGTGACAAAGTCCAAGCAATGAGGTAATAACTAACGCTTTGTACAAGCTACAGGATTTCAATTCTTTTACTAGATCCTTAGAGTGGCAAATTCTATTTACTTCAAAAGCCCACAGTGTAAATAAGGCAAGGTACTTGACCAGGCCCTGCTCTTTTCTTAGTCATTTCTGATTATCTAACATTTCTGATTATCTGATTATCAAACACTGGCTAGCTGCCTCCTTTAAGAGGCAATTACACACGTCTCCCCTACCACCTACATTCTCTTAGCTAACAGCAATGCCTAACTACAGAACCAATACATCTTTGAGAATATTCCGGTTTACTGGATAAAGTCAGTTTGAAATTCTAAAGATAGATAACCTGATCCATTTGTCTTTCCTTAAAGCCCTTCAAAAATACCCTCTGGCAATAAGCAGAACAAGCCTTTCACTCAGGAGAAAGATAAAACAGTCCATGATTCTGCAATTCACAAACACCAGGACCTTTATTTAAAGGGTGTTCACACATATTATTCCCAAGGAATGTTTATTTATGCACTCAAGTAAGAACAGAGGAACCAATGCTTCAAGAAACAAAATGCACATACAGTGCAGCCCCATGCAAATGGCTTCTCTGGCTGAGAAGTCTATAAAGTTTTGAGGCTGGGCCTCAGAGGAAGGCCTACCTGTGACAGGGAATTCCGGGGAAAAACAGGTTTTTCTGAACTGGAGCATGCCCTGTCCACAACAGAGCTAAGCAACTGCCCAGAAAGGCCTGTTACAAAACCACAAAACAAGAACAGAGCTGACAGGCCCCTGCCCTGAACACCCTGAAAGCTAAAACTAAGGACCCTGAGAAATGAACTCTACTATGGACAAGCCCAACAGAAAGTTCTCTGTTTCTGTTACATCTAAAACTGGCTGCCCTCCCAGAGTGATTTAACTCTGGGTACCAATTGGGCAGTGCTAGCCACCGTGCGGGGGGCAGTGGCTTCCAGGATGCCAAGTCTGTCTTCTAGGTTAATTAGGAGGGCTCGAACCTCTGCAGTGTAAACTGGAGACACTGTGGGCAGATCTGGGCCCCCCAAATGCATCTGGGCTACATGCCTCCATTCAACAAATATTTACCGAGCGTCTACCGTATGCCCAGCACCCTGCTAGGTGCCGGGGAGGAATCAAGCCACAGTCCCCAGTCTCTGGAGCAGAAAAAGACAAGGACCGTCTGGAGGTTGTGCGGGCCCCAAAAACCTGCCACAAGTTGCTAAGACCAGTAGTAACCCGGGGACAGCATGACCCCCAGTGCCAGGCTCTGCGCACCACCAAGCCCAGTACCCAAACGGACTCCAGAGAGCGAAGGCGGGAGTGGACAGGTAGGCCCCAGGGCAGGTGTTCAGGTAGAAGGTGCACACATGAGGCTGCCGGGCTGGCGAGGACAGGGTCCAGTCGAGGATGGGGTGCCCAGGGGAGGCTGGAAGGTGGCCCGGGGACCGCGCGAGGGAGAGGGAGTGCGAGGAGAGGGGTCCAGCCCCGGGAGGCGGGTACGCGGTGGAGGCCGGCCAGGCCTGCGCCCCCGCGGCGGGGACGGGGAGGGAAAGCGCGAGGCTAGGCCGCCCTCCCGGCACCTGGGGCCCCGCCCGGCACCTACCACTTGGGCGACCTTGAGGCGGCCGAGCGTGCCGCGCAGGTAGTCGGGGTCGCAGCGCAGGCCGGCCAGCCCGCGGCGCTGGCTCACCGGCTCGGTGGTGGGCTGGTACGGGCTGCTGGCGCCCGAGATCATGGAGGTGCTCGAGGCCTCGCCCTCGAAGCCGTCCAGCTCCTCGCCGCTTCGCATGCTGCCGCCCGGCCAGGGCCGCCTAGCGCGGCCAGCTCCCGGCGCCAGGAGCGGGCGGGCTCAGCGGGGCCGCTGCATCGCCGCCGCCGCCGCCTGACTGACCGCCCGCGGCCCGCCCCGCCGCCTCTGCGCCAGCCGCCCGGCTGCGGCCGCGGCTCGGTCCGCTCGGGCTCGGCTCCCGCCGCCTCGGCAGCGGAAAGGGAGGGAGGCGGGAGCGGGCAGAGAGGGAAGGAGGCGGGAGCCGGCGCGCCGGGCCGGGAGGGGGCGGAGCGAGGGCCCGCCAGCCGGCCGCTCGGCGGCGCTCCGCGGCGAGCAGAGGTGGAGGTGGCGGGGCCGCGCCGCGGGCCTCGGGGGCGGGGCGGGGCGTCGGCCCCGCCCCGGCCCCGCCCTCACCTGCGCCGCGCGCTGGGCCCGGACCGCTGGTGGGCGCCGCACCCTCAGCACGCGCGGGGCAGAGTCCTGGAGAGCGGGTGGCGGAGGCCGGGAGGAATGGGGCTGAGGGAAGGGGTCGAGGTGGACCTAGGGGCCGTGGAGTTGCTTTCCCAGGGCGCTGCCTCAGTTTCTCCTTTGGAGAAAGTGGGGTCCTCCACAGGTAGGCTGGGGGACTTCCCGGTGAGGACCTGGCAGGGCTGCGCCACCCCGGTGCCGAGAACAGTATGGAACTGACGAGAGGTGGGTAAGTGTCTGCGCTCCCGGGAGCCCCGCAACAGACCGCTTGAGGCCGGGGGAGAGCAGGGCGGGGTGAGGAGTCGGGGCGGGCACAGATGCGGCCGCGGCGGCGCAGCCCCCCGGTACGTTCCGGACCTACCCGCCGAGGAGGGGCGCTGGCACGCAGTAGGCCCTCGGCGATTTCTGAGCGGAAAAGGTCGTGCGCTGTCTAGGCATCAAGTCAGGTTAAACACAGATCTTGCCCTGAAGAGCATTAATTAGGGACCAATTTGCAATCCAAGTGTGAAGGCTAATTTAAGCTAAGTAAAACATTGACTTTCTAAGAATTGTCGCTTTGACATTGAACCCTTGCACACCACAAATACGGAGGCACTGAGCAAGGCACTTGAAGAAGGTATTATTATTCCTATTTTACAGTGGAAGGGACTAAGGCTCCAAAGTGGAAGTGGCTTATCGAAGGTCACACAATTAATTGGTGGGCAGAGCCCAGGTTCCTACTTTTTTCAAAGATGAGGAGGAGAGTGACTCTAATTAATACAGTCATCCCTTGTTATCCTCAAGGATTGATTCCAGGACCCCCGTGGATACCAAAATCTGAGGATGCCCAAGTAGTCCCTTATATGAAATGGCTTGGCGTTGGCATTTAACCTAGGCACATCCTGCGGTATACTTTAAATCTGCGGTCCCCAACCTACAGTATCAGTCCGTGGCCTGTTAGGGACCGGGCCGCAGAGCTCTGCCGCCCCGCTATCCGTGCAAAAATTGTCTTTCATGAAACTTAGGAAGCAGGGGCGGGCGGGAGATGGGGGCCTCCCGCACTGCTAGCAGGAAGTGAGCAGCAGGTTAGCCAGGGAAGCTTCATCTGTATTTACAGCTACTCCCCATCGCTCGCATCACTGCCTGAGTTCCGCCAAACCCCTTGTCCCCCCAGCACCCCGCCGTGGCAAAATTGTCTTCCATGAAACCGGTCCGTAGGGCCAAAAAGGCTGGGGACTGCTGCTTTAAATCATTATAAATTACTTATAATAATGAATACAATGTAAGTGCTATGTAAATAGTTATACTGTATTGTTTCTTATTTGTATTATTTTTACTGGAGGTTTTTCCTGAATGTTTTTGATTAGCACCACGGATGCAGAACTTGCAGAGATAGAGGAATGACTCTATTCAACCAACAAATATTTACTGGACCCTTACTATGTGTTAAGCAATATGCTAAGAACTGGGGATAGATGACCAGTTAAAGATGAATGGTTGGATGTAGGTTCTGGCCTCTGCTCTCTCCCAAAATCCCAGTGAACCAATGAAATGACAGTTAAAGGGATTTTTTTTTTTTTTTTTTTGAGACAGGGTCTAGCTCTATCACCCAGACTGGAGTGCCATGGCACAATCATGGCTCACTGCAGCCTCGAACTCCTAGGCTCAAGCGATCCTCCCACCTCAGCCTCCTAAGTAGATAGGGCTACCAGTGCATGACACCATGCCCAGCTAATTTTTCTATTTTTTGTAGAGACAAGGTCTGGCTATGTTGCCCAGGCTGGTCTCAAATTCCTGGGTTCAAGCAATCCTCCCGCCTCAGCCTCCCAAAGTGCTGGGATTTATTTTTTTTTCAGGGCATTAAACCACTGGGACAAATGCAAAAGGGGACAGGAAGTACAAATGTGTGATAGGGAGAATGGGAGGGTGCAAAAGAGACGTAAACAGTCATCCTGCATCATGGGAAATCAGTAGATGTTTAAAACTGGAAAATCAAGAGGTTAACAGTACGTGCATGTTGATTAGAAATATAAATAAATAATCAGTTAACAAGAGATAAAAAGTGTGACCTCTGGGGAGCAGAAAATGTAATGGGGGTTATAGGCCTTCTGGAACTATTTGATTCTCTCAACTACGTATAGATATAATTTTGATAAAAAGCTAAATTAAAAAATTATTTTTAGAAAAGAAAGGAGTCAGTGGTAAACAAGGCAGGCGTAGTCCCTGCCAGCAGGACATGGGGAGCAAGTATTGAAACCAATAAATACAACAGTGTGTGCTGAGTGTTGGGCAGAGGGAGGGTGTCCATGATGGTATGGAATTTCCAGCAAAAGGATTTAATTTTTGAGTCTGTGGGTCAGAATTTCAGCTGAGCTCTAAAATACAAATACCAGTTAGCCAGACAAAAGGATGGTGAGGGTTGTTGGAAGAGTATTTCAGGCAGAGGGAACATGTGCAAAGGCCCAGAGATGAGCAAAAGCAAGGCACATTGAAGACACTCAAGTGCAGACTTCAAGGGGAGGAGGACTGGCAGAGGAGACCTGAAGCTTAAAGGTAGCGTCGGGCCAGTCCCTGTGGGGCCTCCTGGGCCACAGAAAAGGGTGAGCTCCAAACAGAAGAGTGTTAGGCACGAGCGTGGCCCAGTGAGCTCTGTCTCATAGGATGCTCTCTCTGGCTTCAGTGCAGGGATGGATTGAGCAGAAGCAAGAGTGGAGGCTCCGGTCCAGGACTTATTAAGCTGTTTCCTGTTCCTGGACACCAGCCTAAGTTTATTTTTAGTTCCAGGGAGAGACTCAAACTTTTCTTGTTTTTCACAGAAGTTCACAGACTTCCAGCGGGTGTTGTTGGGAATCCCACATGGATCCTTAAATAGTAGACAAAACCCGGTATTACGTTGCCTTCCTCCGTGTTAAACTGTGACGCATCCTGAATCTCTAGCTATAGCTGTGCCTCCGGGTGTCTGTGAGTGCTGAAGACAAAACGAAGGCAATAAATGACAGAGAAGCAGGCAGCCCTTGGACAGGTCCTGGTTCCAAGGTCTAGTCCACACATCCAGGGCTGACTCAGGGCAACCAGACGCAGAAGGAACTGATGAAGATGCCAGATGCTACTTTCTTAATTGCTGCCAAAGCATAGACACTGCCAGAATTATCTCAGACCCTGAACTTACCCTGGAAGAGCTGCTCAGGGCAGCCAGATGATGTGGAGGGGCACCTCACACATGCAAACATGCTTGGCCTCAGGACACTTGGGCTCCTATCCAAGGTCTCTTACCCAGGCAGCGCTTGGGCACTGACAAGTTCCTTATCATCAACCTTTTTTATATGCCCAGCAGCTCACTCACTACCTGTCTGTTCTTTGGACCATGCTCAAGTTTAGCATCCTTAGGTATGGGCTGTGCCCCGGGATACTTTGGCTCACCTGGATCAGATTTGGCCTCTTCCCAAGCTCCTGAGCCTCTCATTTAGCCCTGGGTGTGGCTCCCTCCAAGGGAAACCACTTACAAGTCTGGGGAATCCCTTACTGTACCCCCTCCCACACACACACTGACTTCACTGAGCATCAGGGCTCATCACGGAGAGCCCTAACCTCAAAGGTACTGTTCCTACAAGGAGTTTAGATTCTAAATTGCATAAAGGGCTAGGAGAAAAACACCTTCCCAAACTGTGGTCCCTCCGTGATCTGTGTCTGGAGGCAGAGCCTGATCACAACGAGGAGAGAGAGGCTTACACTTCATTTTGTTTCTTACTGAGGCCTCTCCCCAGTGCATCCCTGCAAGTGCTGGGGCGTGAGGGTGGCTTTTCCTCTAACTTCAATTAAGCAATAAATCTAATCTACTACTTTTAATAAACCCAGTAATTAGCAGGAGCCCTAAGAGACTTCTACCTCAAACAGAAACATATAGATAGGGGTAGTAAGTAGAAGATTTCAAGCATAAAGTATATATAGTGGGAAGATTGGTTAAGTGTATCATTAGCAATTATCAATATTAAAAGCAAGCATGAACCAAACACAAAAAGAAAATTTTGTATTTAATGTTTCACGACTAACAACTTGGTTTGAATACTTCTAAAAAGCCTTTTAAAGAAAGTTACCAGTATAAAGTCCTTACCTCTAAGGATTAGACTCAAAGATGTAAAAAACAAAAACTCATTTTTGCGTTTGAAAGGAGTCCATGTCCCTGTCCCTCTCCTCCGTGGCAGGACCTTGACCAGACCCCTCCAGCACTGTTCCCACATGCCTGGAGGGTAAAGCCTCGGTGAGTTCCAGACAGGAGTGGTTCAGGGGTTTGAGTTAACTGCTGCTTCTGAAAGAACTTGTCCCTTCAGCCAGAAAAATGCTCTCCAAGTCTCCTCTAAAAATAGTGCTCGCTGGGATTTTCCAATTTGACATTCCTTTGGTCACAATGACCAAGGACAACCTAAGCCAGTCCACCCTTTGCCCCTAGCCAGAGCCTCCAGTGGAATCCCACCGCCTGTGGGACCCCAGTTTGTGGTTCCTGCTGCCTCCAGACCCTGCTGGCCCTTGACTCCCTCAGGGAAGGATTTGCCTGCTCAGCGCTGCCTTGGTTCTCCCTGGCTGTCCCCCACCTTCTGGTCCCCTGGCAGAGGAAGGGGAATGGTTTTCTGGGAA